AGGTAACTCATTTGATCGTCTTCTCGAATTTATTATCTGATTCAACGACCATATTACTGCCAATCTCTCTATCTCCCTTTCTCGCTCCTTCTTCGCTCGTTCTCTTATTCTCATCTTCTCTCTCCTCCTCTCTCTCTCTCTCTCTCACGCACACACACGCACGCACGCACGCACACGCACGCACGCACGCACGCACACACACACACACACACACACACACACACACACACACACTCTCTCTCTCTCTCTCTGTCTCTCTTCATTTATTTCCCCCTTTCTTTTCCTCTTTCTACATCACATTACTACATGTTCTGCAGCAAGTATTTAACTCAACAATACCGCCTCTATGCGACCAGAATAGACTCATAACACCAATATAAAATTAACGGCCATCTGAACTTCCACAACTATAATAACAATAAAGAAATGTTTCGTTAACAAATTGATTAAATGGCATAAATTAAGCATTTAATATTAACTACTCGTCACACGCTCCTATAGCTGGCACATTCTTACAAGTTTTCAAGATGTGAATGTGACAGCACTTCTATCTTTTTTTAAACATTTGGCAGCAATTTCTTACCAAGCATCGTAGCTCACGGACAAACATAGCTTTAATTAGTACGTAATTTAATTATGTTAATTCAATTAATAATCACTAATTTGCGCATTTAATGACTTTATATGTGCATATGAAAACAAAAGACAATAGTCGGTGTAAGTTTATTTCGATGTGTAAACATGTAAATATTTATATTTAATTATTAAAAGTTCATTATTAAAATGTGTAAATAATTAATAAACGGTGATTTGTAAGTTCACATCTAAATAAATGTCAGTAAAAAATCTAAATTCAGTAAAAAAATCAGGTAATTAAATCACTCGATTCTTTCGACTTTCATCTCTTCTGCTCCCATCATTTTCTCCCTTTTAATTAACGCATTATACATATATGTATTATGTATACATAGAGCGAACTGTTTCACTGCGTTTCTGCTTTTTCTCGTCACTGCTGCCGTACTGCCATTTGCACAAGAGCAAGATTTGAAACCGTTCAGGGAGTTAAGTTACGAACTTGCAGTTGCAAATGCGGTTGCCGTACAGAGGCAGTTCGCTATGTCTGGAAAATCTCATCTAGTTACCTGAAAGAATTTGAAAGAACAGGGAAAACAACGCTACGCTAGAAAACCGTCTCTCGTCGTCCTGGTAATAACTAGTCTAATGACTATTTATACCTCTACACATCGATCACAAAGGAACGCCCCCCCCCCACACACACACACACGCACACACGCGCGCGCGCACGTACACACACGTATGCTCGCATGCACGCGTGCTTACGCACGCATGCACGCACATATAGTATTTTATACTATACATAAATTATGTATTTTTATTGTTAATGACAATAAGCGATGACAGTTGCAAAAATTGCCTATGACGCGACATAATGATTATCTACGTCTAAGAGTCTAAGTGATTAGTTATACTAATTTAGAGTAGTAGCCGCCAGTGGCGTACGTATAACTACCCCATTTTGAATGGGGCCAAGCCACATGAGGGTTGTGTTCTGGCCAGGGGACCATGGGCGATTCGCCATTGACCATGTAACAGTATCTACACTTCTTTGGGTGCAGGGAACTGCCCCTTTGCCCCTGTCCACCTCCGCTAGCTACGGCCCTCGTCGCACATCAATGTAAATTCAGGAAAACCGCGCGAAGTGAAACCTGCAGACAGCTTCGTGTTTAGTCTCTTGCGAACTGAGATGCGGCAACAGTCATGGCTACAGCCATTGCCCAGCTTAGCGTAATGCGACCTGCTGTCCCCCGTGACTCCAGATCCTCTTTAAAGCTTTTGTAGACCTTGCGCTTGTTAATATCTTGGAGCGGACGGTAGTTGTTGACGAGTTTTCTAGTACGTTCCACGTGTTTTTCAACGTATTTTAGAGAGCGTAGCTTGTCGATCTGAGAACAAAGCATTACGCACCAATATATCGTATATGCGAACCGAATATGATGTTACAAATACGGATCACGATAGTTCTAAATAAAACTACACGGATCGGGTGTATATTTAACAATGTCAGCGTTTGTGACGCTATACAGTCTAGTGTTTACTACATTGAATTCCTGATTAAAACCACCGAGCCAGACACCAATCCCGCGAGCCATACCGTGTGCTATTTCTAAGATTGAGATATATATATATGTATATGTATATATATATATATATATATATATATATATATATATA